TCAGAATGCGGAGGGCTGGGCACTCAAACCCAGGGCTCTGACAGCAGCAGCAGCCCCACAGCTGCCTGGGTTTCAGTCTGAGAGAGGAAAAGCTGTGCACCCAAAACAAGCTGATAGCTTGGTCTCATCTATCTCCCTGCACAAGCAGTGGTCAAGTTTTCTGACGGCAGGAACGGCTAAAGCAATGTGCATTTCTCTTCATGCTCCTTACAGATGCTTACATGGAAAAAAGCTCAGGCAAACCCAGTCAAAAAGCAGCCATGAATAGGTAGAGAATCCAACATCCCAGCCCCCAAGTATCCTTCAAGTTTCATTTAACATTACAGGTCAGAAAATAGATTTCCAGGAGAATAAAAATAGACTTCAAATCTATTTTTAGGTGTGTTTTTAAAAAAGACATTATTTTTACAGGCCAAGTGGCCTGAGGCACCCAAGTGACCTCCAGGCCACTCAGTACTTTAAGGGGTGAAACAGCAGTCTCTTTCTCCTGGCCTTTTGAAGAGATAGAAGAGCATTATTTTACATTACATTACAGGGACTGCTCCTGAACACACCACCCAGTAATTACAAGTTGCATTGTGTAATTTCAGTGCTGTCTACTACAAAAGTTTCTGCTTCATAAAAGCACACTGAGAATGCACCCCAATGGTTACAAGGCTCTGTGTCATCAAAGGCACACGTACCAGCCCTCCAGACACACTCTCAGATGCAGCAGGTTAAAGAAACATTGGCTGGCACTGTGGCTTGTGCCTGTCAGAGAAAAAACATTCTCCTTACAAATCGCTGCTTTGATTCTAAATTTGTACATGGTATTTAGACCCAAACAAATTTCTAAAAACAACCTCCTCTCCCAGTTCCAAAGACTATTTTCAGAAAACTTGACATTGCCAACAAGAGGGAAATGTAGGAGTGAAGGATACCTTATTTATTGAGCTGTTGTAATCTCACAATCACGTTGCTGTCTGTCACTGAAAATTGAAGTGTAAAGAAAAGCAATTGTGAATGAGATAAAAATAAAAATGCTAAAGTTTTTAATGTAGAAAAAATCCTATTATTTGAGGAATGTGGTTCGACTTTTTTGGTATTTAGCACAAGCATTGTTTAAGTGTTTGCAAGTGTTGAATTTTTATATCTAAACAAAAGAGACTCAAATATATATGAGAAGTGCCCTTATACCAGGAAGCACAGCATTAACTGTAATGTTAACATAAATATTACAGCTGCTATTCATTGCAAATACATATCAGGACTTCTAAGATTACATTCCTTTAATTCTAATGACTCACAAGAAAGTGTAACTGCCCTAGGCCCAAAGCAATTGAAAGTAGCAGCTGTCTAAAGGAACAAATCTTGCCACAGACTGGCTCTGATAACATCCTAATTCTTCCTTCAAAAGAGATCAGCCAGTAGCTTGTCTCCAGTTGATCCAAAATGGTCTACTTCACTGATTAATTTAAAAATACCTCTCTTTCCCAACCACAGAACTTGTTACAACACTTAGGATGTTACTGCTCTTCTAGAGTCTTCCAGTTTGCATTTCTAATATTAAAGAAGAACCCAGTTAGAAGTCTTCAGGTTTTGTCTGATCAAAAAGCATACCACTTCTCACAATGTTTCTAAAAACACCATAAGCACACAAAAAGAAATAATTGCTTCTGGCAAAAAAAAACCAAAAAACCAAACCCAAATTTACTTACGTAACATATCTGTTCTTACAAATCACTTTTATTAAAATATAATGCACAAACTAAGAATAATATTTAGATACATTTAAATAAATTACTGAGGTTTAACATGATAAATGGTTCCAGATTACAATTTTTTCCAGTAGCAAAGCCCAAGTGATTCCTGTCCTTCTTCTCACCCAATTGTTTCTACCATTTTGCTAGTTTACTCATCAGTAGTGCTGATACAACTGTTTGTGGAGCTGCACGCTAAACCAAAACAAGAAAAAATGACCTCATTTTAGAAAACAACAGTACACTCACTCTTGTTCATAGGTGTAATTTTAGAACCTGTAATTAGAAGGAAAAAAAAACCAAACCCAAACATCACAAGTATCCAAAGTGCCAGTTAAGAAAACATGAATATAAGATGTATTTCAGTTGAATAGAAAGATTCTTGTTTAACAGTTAAGAGTTAGATCACTTACAGGTAAAAACTCAGAAAGGGAATTACTGCCAGACAGCCAAAGCTGTCTACATTTCATTTCAGGGGAAAAAATGGTTTTATTTATACTCCAATTACAGCCTGTCCTGTTGGAGACAAAAGAACCTGAAACACAAAGGGCGAGCTTTGCTCAGTTTCCTTTAGTACCCAGCAGTGTAACTTTCAAAGGAGACATGCACCCCAGGTACCAGGAGGCTTCCACACAGAATATTCACATTTAAAAGGAGAGCAGCATGTCTTTCTTTGGAACATTGTCTCACAAGTGGTACATTTTAAAAATACTGAACCTATTTTTTCCTATTCAAGAGTTCCAGAGTTGAACAGTGACCAACTATTTAGAACACAAGTGTGGTTCATTTCTCCTTCAGCAAAGTTCCAAGCTAACTTCCTGCATCAGTAGCAGAGCTGTCAGAGGCAGCCTCTGCACCTGCATCACTTTCTGTCAGATGCCTTTCCAGACCAAGAGCAGCACTTCCTCCCAGACACACAGGTCACTCACTGTCTCACAGCATCAGTGATTTTGCAGACTGGAGAGCAGTACCCAGCACTAATCACTGCCTTCCTCATGGAACCCTGTGCTTCACCTGCTCACATTACTCAGCTAACACGGCCATGCTGTGCTAAACTTTGCATTTCATATTAACTCTCATATTAACTGTGCATTTACGATACTGAGATGAAGATTTCTCAAGGCACTTCCCAGACTGGAATCATGGCCAATGCTCAGCACACACCTGGAGGAGCAGACAGCAACCTGCTTTCTTCAGGACTGCTAACAGCTGTTGCACTGAAGTCTCCCAGGTCCAGAACATGGTATCAAGGAGCAGGGAGTTGCCATGATGAAAAACCACAAATACACCTAAGGCCTACTGAGAAAAGGCAGGATTAGCAGTGTTACACTGCAAGAGGGATCAACATGAGCTCTAAAAACTTTATTGCAACCAGGTATCAGACTGTTGCCTCGGTCCTTCCTTATTTTAACTAATCTTACCAAATTCTGAATCCTCCCTCAAGCCTTGCAGTCTTCTGTGAATACTACTTGAAAACTATATCACTTACTCTTGCAAATTTAGCAATGAGTTAGCAGACTTCAAGCACTAGCTGTAGGAGTTTATGAGGCAAACTCACAGCTTAGATTTTTAGACTCCTTGAAAGTCAAAACCTTTGCTTCGCATCCAAGAAACTGTCTACTCCAAAGAACAGGTCTGCATCACGTGTAATTCTTTCCTCTTATTTTTAAATGCCTTTCAGCTTCCCTAGTTTTAGGTCAGTTTCTCATTAATTTCACCAAATACATTTTCAGAAGGATTCTGTATTAGAAGGGGAAGTGTGTACATACAGAATAAATACCATGAAAAGGAGGAAAGAAGTTGAAGCTTTTTATATCAATCTCTACTGCTGAGTTTCCTGGACTGTTTTTTGGAATCAAATGCATGATAAAAAGCAGTTCTTTAACATTTATGGTAGGAAAAAAATAAGAGCAAAGATCTTGAGAAGTCTTGGAAAAAACCCACCTTAAATAAAACAATTGCTATCTACACCTGCTGTGGCAACCAGGATAAATTCTGCATCAATGACATTTATTTTCATTGAAGAGCCTACAAGTGGGGAAAAGATGACCCTAGACAAAAGTAATATTTGAATTGTCTATAGAACTTACTGTGTTGTTTTAAACTAGTAGTTCATGCCCTGAAAACGTATTGTGGTACTTTCTTCTGTCATTGACTTGCACCTCTATTGTCCCTACTTATTAGTTTTATGTGGCTAATTAAGTGGAAATCAAAATGAATTTTGGAAATTTATCATCAACAGAACTTTTAATTAAAACCTTGTTGCTTCCAAATGTCAATAATGACTAGGCAGTGAAATACTTTTTGTGAGGTTACTCATTTGGGTGGAAGACAAGCTTACCTTGGTAATACTGTTTTTAACACTCTCTGCTTAAAGCAACTGCAAAATTATATGTTACAGTGACATAAAGAAAAAAACACAATCTGTAGAGCCATGAAGCATGAATCACAAAGACTCACTTCAGATCCTAACATGGCAAAGGATTGGTGGAGCTTGTACCTTGTAAGACATACAACAACCATTGGAATCCACAACTGGCACATCTGATGGCAAAGGATTGGTGGAGCTTGTAAGACATACAACAACCATTGGAATCCACAACTGGCACATCTGTGTTAAAAATGAGAAAGAAACATGAAGCTTCCAAGGCTGGTAAGGACACAAAAAGTGTAATACATTCAGGAGGAGTAAGAGGGGGAAAAAAACAGCCAGAGAAACCATAGCAGGCAGATGCAGAATTGCCATGTGTTTGATCTGTTGTGGTTGTACACTTGAGGTACAAGAGCACAGCTGTCACCTTTCATGTGTTAAAAAAAACAGCCAGAGAAACCATATCAGGCAGATGCATGCAGAATTGCCATGTGTTTGATCTATTGTGGTTGTACACTTGAGGTACAAGAGCACAGCTGTCACCTTTCATGTGTTTGACAACTCACCCCACAAAGCAGCAGCATCAAACCTCTCCATAAAGCTCCAGAGTTCATTGCTCCTGATTCACTGGCCACGAGCAGGGCCTTGCTCCCTGGCAGATAATTTAAGGACAACGATGAACAAACTCTTTCCTAATCCTAAAATGCAGCACATTACTCTTTCTAGCAAACACACAGTCGCATCTGAGATTACCCAGTGGCTGAGCCATCGCTTTCCCCCAACAAAGGCTGCGTGCTGACGGCGGCAGAAAGAGTGCTGATCTGCTGCTCCGTGCTTCTCACTGAAACAAAAGGCTTAGGTATTACCATGAATGAAAACTAGAACCACAACAGGCGGTGACACGTTAATATTTTATTTTACACATTAATGCAGGCTGTGTAGCATTACAGCTGCATGTAAGCAGACATACCTGGATCAGTATCAGTGCACATACAGCAATCATGCTCCCGCAGGAATCCATCCCTGGCTCCCGCTGCAGCCCGTGCCACAGCCGGCAGGCCTCTACCGGCTCCCGCAGCCCGTGCTAAGGGCGGCAGGGGGTGCCAGCGGTGCCCGGATCGCGGGGCGCGCCGGGCGGGCACACGGGGATCCCCTCACGCCGCATCACCGCGCCGCTGCCACCGCCGGAGAGGAGGTTTGAACCGCGCCGGCCGCCGTACGGGGAGGTGCCACTGCCGCTTCCGCGAGAGGTGGCCCCCGCCGCGCATGGAGGAGCTGCCCGTCGTCGTGCTCCTGCTGCTCCTCCTCGCCTTGCTGCTTGTGCCGCTGGTGCTCCTGGATAGGAGGCGCCGCGGCCGGCGGACGCCTCCGTTCAGTGTCCTGGTGGTGGCCGGCTCTGGTGAGTGGTGGTTGCCGCCGGCGGGAGCGGGTGGCGCCGCAGAGCTGCAGCTCCAGATTCTTGGAACTACGAGTCCCGGCATGCAGCGCGACAACGGCGAGCGCAGCGCTGCCCCTGTACCCTGGTGCATGCCGGGAGTTGTAGTCGCGGTTGCGTGTGTGTGGTGCCCCAGCCCCGCCGCCTGCCCTTGGGTGTTTCGGTTCTCGATTTGAGTCACTGTTTGTTACGCGTTTCACCGAAGTCCCGGTGAAAGCACGGGAAGCACTGGCGCAGGACAGCTGTGCGGCTGCTCGGCCTGGCCGCAGACTGCTGATGGCGATGCAGGCACGGCGTTCCGAGGCTGGCACGGCCCTCGCAGATGTGGCGTTCCGCGATCCGCCCAACCCACGCTGCTGGGATTTACTTACGAGAGGCACACGTGGATCCCTCAGAGACAAGAGTGTCACCCCTCGCTGAAGGGGGCGTGCACATCTGCCACTCCTTGTTACCTTGTTATTGAAGGGCAATTAATTTACCTCCAAAAAATTTACTTGAAAAGTTGCAGCTGACAAATACAGGCCAGCTGTGATTTCAGTACTCAGTATCCCTTTGGTTTTTGCACACCCGCTGATTGAGTAATAACCCTGAGATCTTTCTGCATCTGAGTTTGACTGGCAGGTTTATAATTCTGAAGGTCATCTTTACATGCACTAGGGCTGGATGTGTGTGTGTTTTCCTTCAGTCCTTCGGAATCTAGTTAGTCTGTATTAAAATAATACTTCCACTGTACATAATCTTCCCAGCTGAAATAATAGATGTGAGTTAAGATTCACATAATGTTCAAGCCTATTCTTTGAGGCTTTTAAGTGGGAATCTCCTGCTCTTCTGTGAGTGCATTAATATTAGTGAAACCTTAACAAACACCACTCAGGAGAAAACATCTCCAAACATAACTGAAAAACAGCCCATGAAATTGTATGGAAAGGTGGCAAAGTGTAGTGCAGTGCTGCAGCATAGCCTCCTTGTCAGTTGTTCAGCAGCTACGAGTGTTTGACCTGTGCAGCAGAGGGCTCTTGGGAGCCTAGTGACACTGAACAGCAGGAGGTAGCAGGAACACATGTGGTTCACTGGTTTTGGTCTGCAACTTCCAGCAGAGTGAAAAGCAACACATCCAGTAAACACATGATGTATTCATGGGTCTAGTTTCATGTTGGTCTGATGCAGTCCAATAGACAAAAGGTGAGATTGCTCCACTTCACCTACACACACAATCTTCCTTCTCCCCCCATTCCATTCTAACAATATTCCTCTAACTGCTTTTCAGGAAACTCAAAGGACAAGAAAAGCCAAAAATTAACCCAGCTGCCAAAAAGCCCAGTATGTACACCCTCCCCTTCTGTCTGGTGTAGTGCCAGTGCAGCTCTGGGACAGAGTGACCCTGCAGTTAGAAGGTTGTGAGGGCCCTTTCAAGGGCAGTGCTCAGGGCAGTGCCTGAAGCAGGACTGTTTGTTCTGTCAGCAGCCAGCTCTGCACGGCTGTGGCTGCAGGGGGACACGGCTGTGGCTGCAGGGGGACAATGCTGTGGCTGTCACTGCTGTGGCTGCAGGGGGACACTGCTGTGGCTGTCACGGCTGTGGCTGCAGGGGGACGCTGCTGTGGCTGCAGGGGGACAATGCTGTGGCTGTCACTGCTGTGGCTGCAGGGGGACACTGCCCTGGCTGGTTTCTGTGTAATGAGCTGGGCTGGCACAGCCCTGCTCTGGCAGGTCACAGCACTGGCACAGGACAGGGTCAGTGGCAGTTCTGCTTCCAAGGTGCAGCTCTGAGGCAGATCCTGTCCAGCTGCATTTTGGCCATTGCCCCACGGGGTGGCCTTTGAGTGCAGAGCAGTGTCACTCTGTGCCTGGTTGTTCTGCACCCTGTACAGGACATTAAACACAAACATCAGACTCCTGTGTCAGCCTGGTTCAATCCCATTGCACTGGAAAATGTCCATCAATACCGCTTCCCTGGCAGCTGAGCTCCCTCCATGTTATTTAAGCAGTCTCTAATTGAAGATACTTTCTCACTGGTAGTAGTATACTCATATGCTTTAAAATGAGAAGTGACTGATTCAGCTGAAGAACTGGAAAGTTACAAAGTTTTTCACATACTAATTGCAGTTTGCTTTGTTTTACAGGTGGGCACACAACAGAAATCCTGAGGTTACTCAGCTGTTTGTCAGAGTCATACTCTCCTAGACATTATGTTTTGGCAGACTCAGATAAGATGAGTGAAGCTAAAATACGTTCTTTTGAACAAAAAAGGGCTGAAACATTCTCCAAGTCCCAGGTAACTTGTTAAATACTCATGTAAGAAAAATGATCTTGACATTCTAATTCAAGGCAATTTGGAAATGATTCTTTTAAAGGGCATTTATACCAGCTAGCCACTGAAGTGTTACTTGTAGCTGTAAGAATATTGGGCAAAAATATTGCAAAGGGGATTTTTTTTTTTTTAGTTTGCCATTTCCCTCAGTGAAACATAATACTTTTTTGAAAGAAATTATATATAAAAATATTTTGTCCAAACAAAAGAATGTCCAACCCTAAATTATTAGATTTCTTAAAGATACCTATTTTCAGTATTAAAAGGTTATGTGGTTTTCATAGCTCACTTATTTTTGCTAAGCAGCTTCTCTTTTATAACCTCTCCAACTACTAACACATCCTGTAGTTATATTTTCCCTCAACACTGAAAGCCAGAGGAGCATTTTTGGCTGCATGTGAGTTTGATGTCTGGATAACAGATGCTCATTTTCCTTTGACCATTCTCTTTCTACTGAGCAAAAATATTTAGAGTGAAAATGAAAGATAAATTTTGGAAAGTAAATATCACATGCCTGTAACATATATTTGCTATATTTCAGTGTGCTTTCATACACACACAATGTGTTTTGTTATTGGGGGCACTGGAGATCATCAGACATTTAAAAATTGTGTCTTAGTGGCTTCTTGAAGCTTTGCATAAGTGAAAGGGAGAAGTCTGAATGCTTCAACACATGGTCATTGCCTTCCTCATCCAGTTAAGGAAGTAGATTTTTCCAGAACCAGGGACCAGATGGAAGAAAAATTACAATAATGATGTAACAGAAAACCAGCCATGTAAGAGAAAATTAAACACACACACCTCCCCACCCCTCCAAATAATTTTTTTTATCTGTGGTCTAGCTCTGTTCTAACAGCTATTCAGGGAGAAGGACAGAAAGCCAGAATGAGCATCTTGCTTACAAGAAGAAAAACGCTGCACCTCAACCCACTGAGCCTCTTAAAAAAAAACCCTAAAAATGCCTCCTTTGCAAAGTTCTGGTCCTGCTATCACTGGCTTCTTTGCTCTCTATCACTCCCCACCTGCAGCCACAGCTATTCCACATGGATGCCCCCAGAGCTTTTACTCAGGGCACCTTCTATGCTCATACAGAACCTGTTTCAGCTGCTGGCAACGTTCTCCAGCAGCAGAGAGACAACTTACTGAAGCCTCTTCTGACCATATGTTCTTTTCCATTTCATGAGAGGTACTATGCTGAGAAATCTTGTTTCTCATAATGAAAAATATTTGTGTGAACTCAGTTTCTTTGCAAGCATTGCAATATGTTCAGCTGAGAATATTACAATAATTCACAGCAGTTGCAGTTTTCCATCAGCTTTTCCTTGCATCCCTGCAAAACAACATTAACCAGGTATCTGCATTACAGATTTGCCAGTTTGGAACATTTGTTTTCAAATTAGAAAAAAGATTCTGAGTACATTAAAGATGTAAAGAAAAAAAAAGATTGCAACAATATGACACCACAGAGATAGGGGAGAAATCTTTTTCTCTTGTCAGACATACTATGCAGTGTTCCAGCAAAATACACAGGATGTGCCTTTGGAACATTGACAGTACTTAATAAGAGGAGAGGCTGGGATTACAGGAGCATCTGGCAGTGGCTTTTAAACAAACAAACAACAACAAAACCCCCCAGTTTTGGTTTTCATTTTAATACCTAGGAGTTGTTTGATGTGTGGACAGAAGTTCTAACATGACATAGACACTGATGTGCAGTTTGCAGCATGTTTTGAAAAGTATAGATAAAATCAGCTTGATCTTTACTTGAACTCTCCAAGTAAATTCCTGCTTTGATACTGTTCAGATTTCCTGCCAAGTTCTGCTGAAATTATTTGGGTTTTTTAATGATGATGAAAATCACCTACAGTTTTTTTTGTCAAATGCTCTTTAACACCTTTCTTACAGTGAAGGTTCATCTGAATAGTTCCACTGGACCCTGATCTGCCTAAAACCACTTTCTCATGCCCATATTTCTTGCAGGATTGAGTGCTATGCAAGGGTCTAAACTCCACTTAGAGCATTTCTTTTTATCACCTGAACTCTTCCAAAGCTTCGAGAAACAGAGACAGTGATAACCAGAAACCTATTGAATAGGGAGCAGGGGGTATGTTTATTTTTCCATATTCTGTTGTCAGAGTAATGCAATCAGAGTTTCAACACCTGCAAATAAAACATTAAAAAAATCAGTTTGTAACATCTGTTAATGCCTTCCAGTATTGCAGCTATTAAAGATATCAGAATGAAATGGGGTAATCTCAGTCAAGAAAATTAACATTCTGCATTTACAAGTGTTGGGGTTTTTTATTCTTCCCACCTTATATATTAAAAATAGTCCCAGTTACTGCTATTCAAGACAGATTTGTAGTTTGTATTTACCATGCAGCTTTTGTTAGCATCCTCTTTCAGGGACACAAATTGCCAGGACTAAGCTATGACAATTAGCAATGTGCACATGAAGTAACTGGGCAATTTTCAGTATTTAGAGTTTCTCACACCCCTCGTAAGTTCTTCCAGAGTGGTGGTGAGGTGATCTGGTGTCCCCTGTGAAGTGAGGTAACAACCACTATCCACGTGTCAGCATCACTCAACGCTGCACTGCATCCACTACACCTGTCCTTCGTGTAAACAGCCCAGAATGTCATTGGCATCAGGAGTGCCTTCTGCCATGGCAATGATTGTTAGGTGCAGCTCCTCCCCACTGAGGTGAAGGCACCTGCCAGGAGGGCAGGCAGCCTGACAACTGCTCCCTGCTCCCGGCGTTTCAAGACAAAAGGAATCATCCTTGATACCTTTACACACCGTGAATAATCTTCATTTAGGGAAAGAACAAAGAAAGTTACTTCTTTACCTACATTTTATTTAATGATAAGATGTTCTTTCCTGTTTCTTTATGCAGATATTCTGCATTTTGAATATCCATCGCGCGTATCTCTGAATACTCACTGAGTCCTCAATGTAAAGGGTGGTGATATTGGCTTTTACACGTTTAGTGGCGCTCCGCGGACGGCAGCGGAGCGAAGCTGCGCGTGTCCTGTGGTGTAAATGCCCGGGCGCTGCGGGATGCCGGGCGCTGCGGGATGCCCGGGCGCTGCGGGATGCTGGGGTGCTGCGGGATGCCCGGGCGGTGCGGGACGCCGGGCGGTGCGGGATGCCGGGCGCTGTGGGATGCCCGGGCGGTGCGGGATGCCCGGCGGTGCGGGATGCCGGGCGCTGCGGGATGCCCGGGCGGTGCGGGATGCCGGGGCGGTGCGGGATGCCGCCGGTGCCCGCGAGGTGCCGCCCGAGCCCGGCGCTGCTGCTGCGGCTGGAGGGAGCCCGGGGCGGCACCGAGCAACACCTACCGCGTTCTGCTGTTCTCTGTGCTTTGTACTTTACTTTTTATACACAAACGTTCCCAAACTAGACTAAGAAAAGGCAAAAAAAGGCTGGCACAGACAGATGTAATAAGAAGCAGCCACAACGTTGTCAGAAAAGTAACAGCGCCGTTCCTCGTGCTCTTTTCCAGTTCAGCCTGGATCGCATTCCCAGAAGCCGGGAGGTCAGACAGTCCTGGATCTCCTCTGTGCTAACAACACTGTACTCCATACTTTACTCCCTTCCTCTGACCTACAAACGGAAACCAGATTTGGTAGGTAGAGAAAATTTTAATTTATTGAGAACTTGCTAATCCTCATTATAAAAGCACTTGGCATATGCAGACGGCATCTCATATGTATGCTTAGATTTACAATTCACAGGAAAACTATTTTTAATTTTAAATTAAATATAGCAGCAGTACATCAAGAAAGAACAGGTTGCACTGCTGGTGAATTAGAATAGCAAATACCAGTTTTCCCTCGCAAAGGTGCAAGCACCTTCAGAGTCACTCCCTTGTTATGCTGGAAGAGCTAGCAAAAACAAGATTGCTGCTTCCTGATAGTATCTCTTCAGGATTGCAGCAGCACAAACTATGCCTGAAAGCCTGGTTATCCTGTTGGCTGGACTTGCTTCTAAAATGGTATGACCAGTCTGGCACAGACAGGTTCAGACCAGCACAAATATATACAGATTCAGTTCTTGTGCTTACACAGACTTCTGAGCTACAATGCATATTTATTTAGTCTTTGGCTGACTGACATTAATTATCGCATCTAATGACAAAAAGCATCACTGCTGAAGTAGCAACTCCTCAGCACTTTAGTAGCTTTTTCAAGCTGTTCCGAAAACTGCACTCTCATGCTAATTACATTTATTTTAAAATATTCCACACACATAAACAAGTGAGAGGCATTCAGGGTTGTCAGATGGTAGAACTACGATGGAGATATTCAATCAAGAAAGTTTTGTGTTAATACAAAAGGTAGTACACTGGTCTCCTAGCTTTAAGTCTTACCATTTTGTAAGAAAAAATTTGGTTACAGCTGGCTTCTTGCTAGAGTTGTTGTCACCTTAAGGAGTTAGTAATCTAAACTTGAGGTTTTTGTAAAGAGTATTAGTTTAGCAGAACTTCAAATTAAGGAGTTAGTAATCTAAACTTGAGGTTTTTGTAAAGAGTATTAGTTTAGCAGAACTTCAAATTAATACTTTATGAGGTTTAAAATGCTTAAATGAAACATGTAAAAACGAGTGCAGTTACAAGGTATTTTTCATAATTTAGTAGTAGCACCTATACACACACAGATATTTGTAAGGAGACAGATATTTGTAAGGACACTATTTTTAAATCCCTCTGTGAACTGTATGGCTAATTCTATGGAGGCTTTTTAATGTTTGTGGTATTTTGAATGTTTAGAGAGACTGCTGTGAGTAATGTGATCTCATTTGCTTCAATTGTACTGGTCAGTTCCTGTCAGATCAAAAGCTACTCGCTTGCTGGACTTTTCAGACAGTTTAGTGTGCAAGACAACAGAAGTAGGTTTTTTTGCAGTTGCTGTTTTTCAAGCCTCTTCTGAAAACTGGAGATAAAACTGGGAGAGGGGAGAAGGTGGCATGCTATTCTTTCTACAGTGGTTTTGATTGAGGCAGTGGTAATAGTCAAGTTTCTTTACATGAGCAGACAGAAAAATGTGAGTAACTTTAATAATACTTTGCTACACCACTGTGTTAGGTTAGTGTATTTTTTACTTATTGCAAAAGAAATTGACTCGAAAAATCTCACTGAGTAGCTTAAAGGAAACAGGAAGTTACTAATCTAATTCCATGTTTTCTGTTTACCAAAGGAATTTAAAGTGACAGAGAGATTTACACATAGAGTTATTAGAAATGGTGCTGGAGCTGATAAACTGTGATAAGCTATCAGAAGACTAACGTTCTGAAAAACTTGTGCTTGTAAAATTAAGGATATGTTTTAGCAAGGCCTTTAAGCCCTTTGCAGTATTTAAAGTAACCCCTGTCTCAAAGTGAGATCCAGAGAGTCTTTATCCATGGTTAAAGAGCTGGAGGGAAAAGCAGCCCCAGTTACTTTTTGTCAGGTGTCATTATCAACCAAAATAGCAGCTGGCAGAAGCATCCCTGGCATTATGGCAAATTATGTACCACTTGGAAGCTGCTTCCATACTACTACTTGAATGTATATCTTAGTTCATGAATTCTGTAAAATATAATAACTCTGAGAGCTGCAAAGATTTTAAAACACTTATCCAAGCAGACTGGTTCAGGGATTAAAATACCTCACATTGCCAGTGAAAAGACTGTATGGTATGTGAAGCAACTGGTAGTATTTAACTGCCTTTCCACAAAAATGTTTGCAGTGGATTGAAATTCAGTCTACTCTTGGCAAAATGTAATGCTTAGTAATGTAAAGAACTAGAACTAGGCTGGGATAAATGCTGGCACTCACAGGGCTCATCTATAACTTTTGGCATGGAAATCAACAACCAAGTTTAGAAACAAGCACAGTATTACATCATGCTGAGAACTTCACATTTTTAAACAGGAGAGCTTATGGGTGCTGCACATTTTCAGTCTAGACACTGGTTTTTTTTAACTGCTGGAGGGAAAGACAACCTTGCTTCTAAATAATTTGTATGTAGGAGTGATCCCCAAACTCTTACACTTGCTTTCAGGTCAGAAATATGTGTATGTATGAAGGAATGACTGAAGTCTTCTGTAGGCAGCCTAAAGCCTTACACTTGCTTTCAGGCTTGTCAGAAATGTGTATGTATGAAGGAATGACTGAAGTCTTCTGTAGGCAGCCTAAAGCTAGAGAAACACAGAAGTGTTGCAGCTGTCAAGAAATGCAGGACAAGAAAAGTACTGCAAAGGGAGCCCAAAACCATTAGGTGCACAAAGGCAAGATTTGGAACAGGTATGCTAGTTATGCCAACCTAAGCCTGTCTGTGGAGTGCAAATAGCTGCAAAAGGGAAACAGCAAACCCAGTTACACTGGAATTAGTTGATGAGCACTTGATATGTGCTTTACTTGATGAGGACTCTTGTCCCTTTGTATCTCACACTGATCTGGCAAAGCTCCTTGGATTAGTTTTCCTGAGCAATCAGTTCCATCTAACCCTTCTTCAAGACAGTAAGTTCAGAAAGAACTAAACAACTTCCTGGAGATCTTTGCTGTCTTGCAGGACTTGACCCATGCTTGAAGTGGGCCTCCAGAGAGTTTAAGAAATGTAAAAGTTAGTTGAGTTGTTCAGCTTGAGATCATCTTCAGGGGGCCCATTTCTGAGTTATGAACATCTGCACTCTGCAAAGTTAAGTCCCTTAAGAGATATTAAGCCAAGTAACAATTAAGATGTCAGAAGTGATGATTGGCTTGTGTTTCTATAGCCAGGAATTGCAGAAATGTAAGTGCCAGAGTGTTTTGCAGGTGAATATATGGTGAGCAGTTTTTATAACATCTATCTGCCTTAGATAGGCTTCCTATACAGAGACCTAAAATTCCAGAGAAGGAAAGGCTTGTGCCAGCACACACTGCTTACACCCACCTTCCCCCAGAAAAGCTTTTAAAACCATTCATCAGCTGCAGCCAGATTTAGCATGCAGTCTCAGAGATTGCAAATTCCTACCATGAAAACAGGCAGCTGGTCAGAGAAGAGAGACTTCTGTTGTCTTCATTGAGAGAAAGGCTAAAACAGAAACACAAAACTGGAACAAGATGTTATAAGATCTATTATCTAGAAAAGGATGCAAATCCTTCTTATTTATAGAAAATTACACAAGTTGCACAGAGATTTTTTCCAAAGATAAAGAAAATTACTGCATCCTACATAGATCATTTGATATACAAGAAGGACTAAACTAAAGTTACATGTTTCCTTTAATATGCTTGAAGTCAGTCAGTAGATAAAAGTTCAAAGGAAACTGGTCTTCAGTTCTCTTGCTGCTTACATAACCATTGCCTTTGGGCCAGTTTGCCAACCCTGCAACTAAGTTTTCAGGTGATCTAGCCTTTTGTTTGGATCACGATTATCCTGCTCATTCTGGCATACCTGAAATCCAAACTGAAAATGAAAGATGTGCACCTACCACACAGCAGAAGCTGCAAAATATTGTATCCAGTCCTTGTTTTCAGCCATAGATGGGTTATGTAATTGGGTCGGCAATTTGCTATCCTTTAATATAATTAAATTTCACCTACACTTGTGCAGAAGTGCTACATAAAGCTCCATTCATTAGCAGATTGCACATCCTGGACCCTTAGGACCAGACTTTTTTTTCCTTTTCTGGCGACACTTCTCAACAGTTCCCAATGCCTCAGGGCTCTACAGAGCCTGAAATAAGGAGATATTTTCAGATGACTGCTATTTGGAAAAACCTGGGTTAAATCAGGCTAAGAAGGTTGTCCTCCCACATTAGGGCCTCCTTCCTGTGGGAAGTCTGTAGTAAGTTTACATTTACACAGCAAGTACGTCTTCTGCTGTCAGAGAATGAGAATGAAACTTCTTTCTAGAAGCCTGAAATCTGCACAGCTTATCATGCTTGTAGCAATCACCTCTTCTTTTATCACTGCACATCCCATCACACATGCCTGATCCCCTGACTGGTTAGACTGACTAAGGCAGCTTCTGATTACAGAAGTGTTTGCACAGTAAGCTAAATGAAAGGAGATCATTATTTCATTTAGCTAAGATTTTCCATTCTTTGTGCCCTGCCCAAAATGCCTGAAGTTCATAACACTCTCACAAATTACTGTGACAAATAGCAAGTTATTGTCCCTTATATCGTGGTTCTAATTGGAACTTTGTGGAAAGCTACAAAATCTGGGTGGTGCCATTTTTTTTCTTTATTCATTTTATAACAAGTGATCTTTGTATAATGCGATATTAGGACTATCTGCTGCATTCTTTTGTGCACTGCATCTTTCCACAGTGTTTATAATTCTTTGGACCAGATTGTATCTACAAATGTTCTTCTAGGATCAAAACAGTCAAAATAAGCAAGAGTAAGAACACTGGATTAAGAACTTCAGCAATACAATTTTTTTTCTCCAAAAAGAAAACAAAGTGAAGGCATCAAAATGTGTTTAACTTCTCAGTGTTGATGAAAATGAGTCTTATCCACCCCTCCTACCTTGTGTGCTGTGTACAGCTTCCCTGCAGCCCCAATGCAGAATTACCCTGTGCTGAGCACAGATAAACATCTGAAGCTATTCCAGTCAGCTGCTTCAAAGCTTTCTTGTAGCTCTGCCCTTTCTGTGAC